ATCTATATGCGTTATACGGTATAACTTATACCGTTGAGTGTCTATTGTATTTTTTACTAAATGTCATCTTTCTATTTATTTTAGTATAGCTGATTTACGGAATTACTAGTCTCGTAGATGCATACTTTTTTTTGTTTATAATTTTTTTTTCTACACATTATCTGACGCACCTCATAAAAATATTGACACAACAGTTAAAAATTATATATATGAGAAAAAGTATGCGTAATGTAATTACTGGTCTAGTGCATCTATAAATAACAAAAAATAAAAATATTAACCATATACTATTATAGTAAAATAAATTTCTATGTTATATCAAGTTCGGAGATACATTACTTTGAAAATAATACTGATCGGACTATAACAGTTTGCATGTACACAAAAAAAAACATAATTAATCATGTACGCTGTCTATTCAGTTAGGATCAAACCTATTGAAGACTTTGTATTTTTGAGTGATCAGTCAAAATAGATTCAATGCTGGCATGCTATATCAGATCAGATTTTACTCATTTTAGACATGAATCTGGTCTACAGATAATAAGCTGCTCCAATGTTAACAAATATCCAAATATAAAGATATTTTTAAGATTTAGTTTTGGTTTCAAATATTTAAATTCTAAATTTATTGGATAATTATGATCGATTGTATTTTACAGCATTTTTCATGATTAACTAAATTAAATGCTATTTTTGACGAAAACATATTTCTTTATTTTCGTGATTTCTGTTAAAACATTTTATATTTTATAACAGAGAAAAACTGTGTTTCTACACAAAATTTACTCCCGTAAAAGTAGAACGTTAAAAATATTACGTACAACCGCATTTTTGGCAGATTGTGTATGTTCAACGCTTGCTACAAAAAAAAAGTTTTGGTTCAACGCACTTTCAACAAAGGCTATGCGCCTTTTTTTTTAACCATAGGGCTTTGCGCCTTTACTACTCAATTTGGCATGCTGTCACTAATGATCTTTTAATTAATAGTGTTTGCTTATCTAATTTGTTTAATTTAACAGTAATTAAGCATTCTATCATGAAAAAGTAACCGTAATTTAGAGATCCGTTTGCCTCCTTATCGTTGGCATGGAGTCTATCTTTTTATGTTTTGATGAAGTTTTTTTTCATGCTGAGTGTCATGTATATCTCATATATTTGTTTCCTTTATTTTCTTCGTCCAAATTAGTTTTATATATTTTTTCTTCAAATATATTACATGCAAAAAAAACTTTCATTTATCTTAAGTGGAAAATGTAAAGAAGATAAGCTATTTTGTTCTTTGCTGCAGTTAGCTAGATATTGTTTGTAGAGGACAACATTGGCCCTTTCTATTTTTGTTCCTTCTTTTGTCCGAGCCAAAAACACTCCTCTTTATGTCTCCCCTCCTTTTACAATTATGATGTCAATCAATCAAACATTAACTTGACCACAATCGCAAGAAAAAACAAAAAGTAATATGTGGTGGCAGTTTATTCACACATAATTTGTATAGTTGTATATAACGTCTTTCTTAATATTTGATTTGAAAGAACTTTAAACATTTTATTTTGTCAATGATTAAAGAAAGTCAGGAAGCGTGTCATGAAGAAATTGTTTGATCTTATTCCAATGACCAAAGAAATAACCAAATCAACAAATAATTAGACACAGAAAATATTGTGTCTCTTTTCCTAGGTTTTTAGTTTGGGTTTGCATATACCAAAATACTCATTGTTTTGGTTTTTAATTTGGGATTGCGTATACCATTTCAGAAATTCGAACTGAAAACAAAATAGTTATCCAGAAAAATATGAAAAATACATTTATATACCAACAAATATTAGTCATATTTAGATATAAAATAACTGAAATATCTACAATTCCAGTTATACATCGAATCTATTATATTAGTTATATTTAGATTTAAGATAACTCAAAAACCTGAAATAACTGAAATGTTTAAATATCATTTGTTATATTTTTGAAAATGAAACATTTTTTGTAAATTAAATAAACCGAACAAGAATTTTTTTGTTTCCTATATGATTCCTAAAATCGCATATCCAGACTACCCAAAATCTAAAAAGACCAATCTGAACCAAACTGATGATCCAAATTAATCAGTTTTACACATTAGTCAGTTTGTTAATTAGTTCGAAGTTTTTTTTTTCAAAAAAAAAACTGTATAACTTGTAAATATGAAGAAAATATATATCACAAGACCTAAACTTCGATTTGAATTATATATAGTTCGACAACCCATCATGTGTATATATCTTATCTTGCATAAATCAAATAGCAAATAATATTTTTCTTAGAAAAGAAGGAAATGGCGGGACCTCCATATTTTTTCTAGAGGTTTGGTTTGTTCGTATTGTATTAATCGAATAAACTAGTCGAATAACCAATACGAATGCACCAAAACGAGAGCTTTAACTTATGTGCCTCCTCTTGATCTCGACTCCACCACTATAAATAACCTCTCTACCTCTTCCTTTATCTTCCACCACCAAAAATCAGATATCTCATAAGAAAATATTACACAAAAACATCTATCAAAATTTTATAAAAACCAATTTTCTTGCAAGAACAAGATGCCTACAATGTTAACAGATGTCTTTAGAGGCCATCCCATTCACCTCCCACACTCTCACCAACCTGACTTCACATCCCTCCGTGAGCTCCCGGATTCTTACACGTGGACCCTAAAGGACGATCTCCTCTTCGCCGCAGCTCCTTCCCCTCCGGCCACCGGTGAAAACATCCCTCTCATCGACCTGAACCACCCGGACGCGGCCAACCAAATCGGCTGTGCATGTAGAACTTGGGGTGCGTTCCAGATCGCAAACCATGGCGTGCCTTTGGAACTTCTCCAAGGCATTGAGTTTCTCACCGGTAGTCTTTTTCGGCTACCTGTCCAACGCAAGCTTAAGGCGGCTCGGTCCGAGACTGGTGTCTCCGGCTACGGCGTCGCTCGTATCTCATCTTTCTTCAATAAACAAATGTGGTCCGAAGGTTTCACTATCGCTGGATCCCCTCTCAACGATTTCCGTAAACTCTGGCCCAAACAACTTCACCTCAACTACTGGTATATATATATATATATATATATATATACACTCAACCTTTCATATATCTAATCTTCACATTTTACCAAAAAAAAAACCTTTCATATATCTAGTCTTTCTTGCATAAAACTCACACACAGACACTTCCAAATACGACCCAGCCCAACGGCTATATATCACTAATACAAATCAAAATGATTCTATAAGTCCCGTTATCTATAACCTTATATTTATATGTCGTGTATATATTATATTGGGTACTAATAACAGAAGAAACCGAAAATTTGCCATGTCGTTCAAGTTTAGTGGAAGAGTTAAGGTCTAGTAAGAGTTAAGAGCATAATGAAAATCTAGTGTAGTGGACCCACCTCAAGATTTGAAGATATACCTCTTTTAATCGTATCGGAGAAAACAAAAAGCCCAACTTGCTCGTCGTTTTTTTCTTCTTTCTATTTTATTCCAAAATAAAAGGTCGTACTAATATGAATGAAATGTATGTATATGCAAATTGTGTATCAATCTCATCTGTACTAATTAACGGATAAAACTCGTTTGTGATTAACAGCGACATAGTTGAAGAGTACGAGGAACAAATGCAAAAGTTGGCATCGAAGTTGATGTGGTTAGCACTAAATTCACTTGGCGTCACCGAAGACGACATTAAATGGGCCAGTGTTGACGACTCAGATTTAAACTGGGCCCAATCTGCCCTCCAGCTAAATCACTACCCGGTTTGTCCTCAACCGGACCGGGCTATGGGTCTAGCCGCTCATACCGACTCCACCCTCCTAACCATTCTCTACCAGAACAATACCGCCGGTCTACAAGTATTCCGTGATGATCTTGGTTGGATCACCGTGCCACCGATTCCAGGCTCACTCGTGGTCAACGTTGGTGACCTCTTCCATATCTTAACCAACGGACTCTTTAAAAGCGTGCTTCATCGTGCTCGGGTTAACCAAACCAGATCCCGGTTATCTGTAGCTTTCCTTTGGGGTCCACAATCTGATACCAAGATATCACCTGTTCCAAAGCTGGTTAGTCCTGTTGGATCGCCTCTATACCGATCGGTCACATGGACAGAGTATCTTCGAACAAAAGCAGTTCACTTCAATAAAGCTCTTTCAATGATTAGAAATCATAAAGAGGAAGAATAATATTTGTGATCGGCTAGTTAGTTTAATTAATAAGAATTGTTGTAAATTTTTCATTAGTATCACTGTTTGTCCCTAACGTATTTGAATATCAGCATTCCACAAAAACAAAAAAAAACTGGCACTTCTCGAATTGTGTATTGACATGTTGCCACTAATGAGAATCTCATTTTTTTTAAGAAAAAAGATAAATTTTGCAATTATGCGTTGAGGGTCCCAAAAAATTCTATGATTGAAACGCTAAAAAAGTCTATTTTATTAACATTAAAGACAAACTACACGGTGTTATTTCTGAATCATACACAATTCATGTTGTTTGGTTGCTATTTGTCAGATTGTCTAAAAATAAAATGACAGAGCACATCTATGGTGAGACTATGCCTACTCTAAAAAGAAAACGAAAGTGACCAAAACAACTACATTATATTATCTTATCTTAATCTTACAAGCAATATCTTCTGTCTCGATGTGTGCAGCAGAATATGGCCCATGGTTATGGAACTTTTCGTGTTGAATTGTTGATATTGATTAGAAATTAATCAAACTTTTTCCGTATAATGGAGACCTGAAGTCGAGTGTTTACTCTTTTTTAATTACCACAATCAAAAAGACAAAAAAAATAGAAAGGATTGAAAGAAAGGTAACTGCCCATGATAGTATATAAACAAGGCCCACTTTCCACTTTAGTTGTTTGCAAAAGGATTATTATACAAACACGCTGTAATAGTAGATCATTGATATCTTGAGCTTTTTTTTTTTTCAAGCAAGGAACCAACGAAGTCTAAAAAGGCCAAAATACACACTTAGTTTCAAAGATATATAACAAAACAGACATCCTAATACGGAACAAGTTCACGAAAGGGATAAACTTTGGTTGAAAATAGTCAGGTTTGCGTAAGATTGTGATTAGCGTCATAAGCTTATGGGATGGATACCACAATAGGCCTTGGTCATGGTACGGTGGGCCTTGAGATGAACCTCTAATGTTTCATAGAAATCAAGAAGTCCGTCATGGTGAAAGGGCTTGTACGCTAAAGGATGGTTCTTATCCACCATCTCATCTGGTGTCGATATCATCCCTTGTTGGAACGAGAAGAAACCAAATGAATACCTCGTTTCCACGCTCTCCATCTCCACCTTGTGATAACACCCCTTGATTCTGTCGTTGCTCCACGCCTGATGATTTATCAGCATATAAACTCGAATATTCTGTTGATAATTAACATGTGGCTAATTGGCTATTAATGTTGGCTTACCATGATGGCATCGCCTGCTATAACAGCAAACCTAGTTGGTGAAGGTGTAAAAGGATACCAAACATCTTCTTTATCGGATTTCAACATGAGTCCGTTGATGTGGTTCTGATGGAGAATGGAGATGAAGCTCTTGTCCGTATGACACATGAACATCCTGTTGGGCTCTCCATTAGGGAGTGACTTGTATTTCAGCAACCGAAGAAGGTACCGTGATCCTTTCATGTGTTTATCTGCATACCTCTCTAGGTTATAGCTCTCAAAGAGCATCCTTATCACAAGTTGCTCCAGTTCCGCTTGCATTTTCGCATATGCATGAATGGTTTCACTACAACAAATCCGTCAACACATAGTATTAGCTAGTAGCAATTACATTTTGTTACTAGTCAAAGATTATTTGGTTATAATATATAACCAGAAACGGTCATTGTCATGATCATTATTAGGCCACATGAGACGGGAGAATCGGCGGCACTGTTGGATGTCGTTGACTTGGTCAATACCGAGACCTTCATGAACCGGCTGACCGTCGGAGTTCATGGTGATGTAGCCGTGTCCGGCCTTGCGGTTCTCGTTTTTGATCTTGATTTCTGGTGGAAGATCGAGTAGTTCCTTGGCGGCCTCCAAAATTGACTGGTGGAGTTGTGTTGGAAAACGGTTGTATTCGGCCACGAACCATCCATGATGTTCCATGGCTTCACGGACGCTGTCTCTCGTCGAGTTCCAGAGCTCCGTGTCTTGTTTCAGGTTCTTGTCGGAGAGGTTGATGATTGGAAGCTCTCGAGTTTCATTCCCACCCATTTAGCTTTCCTAAGCAATCATAATCAGAAAAGAATTAGAAAAAGCATACAACGTAGTAAATGGTGTTTTGTTCACAATTTATGATCCAATATATATATTTTTATAAACAAGAAAAATAAACTAAAATTACAGAAATTTAACTGTGTATACTCTCACTATTTCCAAGTGATATATATTTTCGTATAAAAAACAATTTGTCGAGTTTGAGAAATATTCTAGTCACTTTAGTACGACAAATGTAGAATTTGATGATGTGTATTTATACTCCCATTGAAATATGCTTCAGAGAGAGTTTGAACAGAATCATAGATGCTTTTCGTTGGCATTATGTTTTTAAATCAATTATAAAATCCTCCATGTCCCGATCGATAAATAGCACACGTACAAATACAATTTTCGAGTCTTGTGCATTATCAAAATATTGGGCTATATGGCCCTAAAGACCTACTCAAGTTAACCCAAGCCCATTGTTATTTCTCAAATCTAGCGGGATCCAATCTAATTGGTTGAGAGAGAGTTTGACATTTCTCAGCTTAACTGTGCAATGTACCTTTGACTTTCTAAGCCGCCGACGTTGACCAGCTTCTCCATCTGACTTATTGTCGCCTTATTCTTTTGGTTGAAATTTGGTAGAATAAAAAAATAACATCGACGGTCTTCGCTTTCCTTTTCTCCAAATATTCACATCTCTTTCCTCACCGGAAAATGTGGTGGCGACAGTGGTCAGCTCCTCCCCTCCTTATCCTCATAGTTGCCCTTCTCCTCCCTTCCTTCTCCGCCATTGATTTTCTCTACAATTCCTTCAGCTCAGCAGCAAACAGGAGTGACCTCATCCTCATCGAAGATTCCCGCGTAGACTCCACCGTAATCCGCCTCATCAACGAGTCCAATCAATACTCCTTAGGCCGAGTTTTCTACCCACAAAAGCTCTCAATCATACCCGATCCAACCCGAAACCCGACCCGACTCTCCTCTTTCTCCACTTCCTTCGTCTTCTCCGTTCTCCCCGATATCTCCACCAGCCCTGGCTTCGGACTCTGCTTCGTCCTCTCCAATTCAACCTCTCCTCCAGACGCAATCGCCAGCCAAAACTTCGGTCTCTTCCCAAACGTCCCCGTTCGATTCCCCGCTCCTCTCCTCGCCGTAGAATTCGACACCGGTCAAAACTCTGAAGTCAACGACATCGACGGAAACCACATAGGGATCGACCTCAACAGCATCCTATCCACCAAATCCGAACCCGCTCGCTACTACGACTCTGTTAATGGAAGCTTCGTCCCATTTAACATGCGTAATGGACAAAACGTCCGTGCTTGGATCGATTTCGACGGACCCAATTTCGAGATCAACGTTTCCGTCGCACCCGCCGGTGTCCCTCGACCTCGCCGGCCTACGCTCACCTTCCGTGATCCGATTATCGCGAATTACGTCTCGGCCGATATGTACGTCGGCTTCTCCGCCTCCAAAACGACTTGGGTTGAAGTTCGGAGAATTCTAGCTTGGAGCTTGAGCGATACCGGAGCTCCTCGAGAGATCAACACAACGAATTTGCCCGTTTTCTTGCTGGAATCGTCGTCGTCTTCTCTTTCGACTGGAGCAATCGCCGGGATTGTTGTCGGTGGTGTGGTCTTCTTGGGTCTAGTTGGATTTGGAGGTTACTTGATATGGAGGAAACTAATGAGAGAGGAAGAAGAGGATGAGATCGAGGAGTGGGAGTTGGAGTTTTGGCCTCACCGCTTCAGCTACGAAGAACTCGCCGACGCTACGGAGGTTTTCTCCTACGATCGGCTTCTCGGATCCGGCGGATTTGGGAAAGTTTACAGAGGAATTCTGTCGAACAAGAGCGAGGTCGCTGTGAAATGCGTGAACCATGATTCGAAGCAAGGCCTAAGAGAATTCATGGCGGAAATCGAGAGCATGGGTCGGCTTCAGCACAAGAATCTAGTTCAAATGCGAGGATGGTGTCGCCGGAAAAACGAGCTGATGCTCGTCTATGACTACATGCCAAACGGAAGCCTAAACCAATGGATCTTCGACAAACCCAAAGAGCCAATGACGTGGCGGCGGAGAAGACAGGTGATCAACGACGTAGCGGAAGGGCTTAACTATCTCCACCATGGATGGGACCAAGTGGTGATACACCGAGACATTAAATCAAGCAACATCCTTTTGGATTCCGAGATGCGTGGGAGGCTAGGCGACTTCGGACTCGCCAAGCTGTACGAGCACGGAGGGGCTCCCAACACGACGCGAGTGGTGGGAACGCTCGGGTATTTGGCGCCGGAGCTAGCGTCTGCGTCGGCGCCGACGGAGGCGAGCGACGTGTACAGCTTCGGGGTGGTGGTCCTGGAGGTGGTTTGCGGGAGGAGACCGATAGAGTATGCGGAGGAGGAGGATATGGTGCTTGTGGATTGGGTTAGGGATTTGTACGGCGGAGGAAGAGTGGTTGATGCGGCGGACGAGAGGGTGAGGGGAGAGTGTGGTGCGGCGGATGAAGTTGAATTGTTGCTAAAGTTAGGGCTGGCTTGTTGTCACCCTGATCCAGCTAAGAGACCGACTATGAGAGAGATTGTCTCGCTATTGATTGGCTCGCCACCGGAGGATTTGTTGAATGGACTTACGCCGGCCGCCGCGGACTCTGCCTCAGCACAGTAGCACACGCCCGTTTAGCTTTTGCTGTTTTTGTTTTCTGTTTTGAGGAAGAGTACTAAAAAGTTGAAGATTGACCTACAAAGTTAATGAAACTCCAAAGTTTATTACATGTTTTGATTCATGGGCCTTTGGGCCGTTAATATTATTCGAAAGCCTATTTAGATGCGATGTCATTTGTAGATCGAGCATGTATGAGAATCGTCCAAGAAAGCCTATTTGGGACACACGTTTAACCTATTATCGAAGTTTGTCTTACCATTCATATTATTTTTGATTTTTGGTTTAGTTTCAGGTTGAAAAAAATTCGGTTAGGTTCGGGGTTTGTTGGATTCCTTTATAAATACTCCCTTATGTACATAACTGTTAGACAAATAAATATGATGCACAACAACTAACAAATCACCTAATTTTATTGAACTTAATGGCTTACCAATAAATGGTTCCATATACTTCCATTAGCCAGTCTTAGTGCTCCACCTAAGGTATGTTTTGGTTGAAAGAACGGCCGTCCTAGTTTCGAGGAAATAATGAAAGAGGAAAAAATAGATACTGGAGAATATAGGACGGTCTTCATATAATTGGAAGGCAAACGAATATGGAAAGTTCCATAAATGTGGTTGGTGTCATTACTCATAGGAGTTTTTTTGTTTGAGGAAAGATTTTTGAGGAAGTTAACGAAGACCAACTTCCCTTTCAATTTATCTTCGTCATGGGTCCAATTAGAAACTTCGACTGAGACTTTAAAAGTAAGGGTCGACCTTTAACCCTTCTTTCGACACACGTTTACCATTAGTATATATATATATATATATATATTTATTCATGGCTATCCTGGCTAGTACGTCATTAACAAACCGATCGAGAACTGTAATTATACTTACACATCCTAACTATGTGGTATTAAAATCAAACACATATATCACTATCTGGTAATTAAACGCAGATTTATTTTTTTAAATATATCAAATAAGAGATAGTAATATATTTTTCTTATATTAAAAATATAAAGTCCAAGTGAATACAATTCAATTCAATTAAATACAAGGGGGCTGCTAAACGAGAATCGGTTATCAAAAAAAAAAAAAAAACTTGACAAGAATCGTCAATGTCTAAACTCACTTTTTTCCCATCTAAATCACTTATTTTTTCATTTAACTCTATACTTTTTTTTCAAACATTTTTGTACTATAAGCCAGTCACTTCATCGTACGTATTATCTTAGCTTCCTTTTTCTAATTTTCGGATAAAAATTGTTAAATGTAGTGTGTAACAAATATTAGAACCAGTGGTAAAATATTTTGATGATGTTTTTCTCAGAGATTGTATTTTGTAATTAAAATCGTAATTTTTACCAGTGAGAGAGACAGAGAGTAAAAATGATATAAAGAATAGGATTTCACTTTTTCTATCTTTATTCGTCATTAAATTTACCATGTTCGCAACATGTATAATTGTTCTGTCAATATCTTTTTGTTCGGTTTATTTTTGTTAAGATCTTCGTACCCAAATTTAAGTTTTATTGCATTCATAATGATAAAAACCCTCCAAAAACCCTCCAATATTATGTCCAAACCTTTAGATATTCAGTTCACACTGTACTAGGATTCTTGAGAAGAGATTTGAGTTTTTAAGGTGGGATCAATTAATTACTTAATTAATTTCTTAAGCAGTGTTTCTTCTAGATTCCCAGACAGAGTCACAGCTGACGTAAGCTTTTCTTTTTTTTTTCCTATTTGTAAAGTCAAAAGTACACAAGGAAAAAAGCGTAGAACGTCAGTTCGTTCGTCACGTTCCGTCTCTGATTTTTCCACTCTCGTGAATGAAACGACATGCATCTGCGTATACATGAATAGTAAAGTCTCCTCTGCCAAATATGTATATATACGAGAACACAAAGGCTACATTTATTTCATCTTCAACTTTCGATTTCTCTTGACCAATTTTCTTTCTTTCATATCTTTCAAGAATTTATTCTTTAATTCTTTATCTATCATAATCAAAAACAAAAAAGAACAGAAGAGGGAAAAGAAAAAGAAAACGCTTTGATTTCTGGGATTCACTAATCCGGGAAAATGGAGGGAACTAGTTTTCAGAAAGCGAATAACAGTTTGAGAAGAAACTCGTCGGTGTGGAGGAAAGATTCAGGAATGGAGATTTTCTCGAGGTCGTCTAGAGAAGAAGACGATGAAGAAGCTCTGAAATGGGCTGCTCTAGAGAAGCTCCCCACTTTTGATCGTCTCAGAAAAGGGATCCTCACGGCCTCTCACGGCCTCAACGAGATCGATATTCAGAAGCTTGGATTCCAGGATACGAAGAAACTGCTCGAGAGGCTCATCAAAGTCGGTGACGACGAGCATGAGAAGCTCCTCTGGAAACTCAAGAACCGTATCGATAGGTAAGAAAAAAACACACACTCGTTTTAGACTAGATTCCAATCGAAACAGAGTAGCTCTGTTTTATTTTTAATGTTAATCTCTGAGCTAAAATTTAATTGGTAAATGACAGAGTTGGAATCGATCTTCCGACAATAGAAGTTCGGTTTGATCATTTGAAAGTTGAAGCAGAGGTTCATGTCGGAGGCAGAGCTTTACCCACGTTCGTTAATTTCATCTCCAATTTCGCCGATGTGAGAATGCTTTTTCTTACTTTATTTTTCTTTTCTATTTAAGAAACATAAAATAAATATATATAACAGTCTATTTTCGATGATATTTAACAGAAGCTCCTGAATACTCTGCACCTTCTTCCCAACCGGAAGAAGAAGTTCACTATACTCAACAACGTCAGCGGAATCATCAAGCCCGGCAGGTGACATTTCATATTCCGTTTTACTATTCTAAGAAATTCAAATCCTTTTAGTTATTATATTGGGGAATTGTTAAAAAAAAATTGGAACTTGTTGACCACAATAAGACAAAAAAAAACTTTGAATTCTTCAGGATGACTCTGCTCTTGGGTCCTCCAAGTTCAGGGAAAACGACCCTCTTGCTTGCCTTGGCGGGAAAGCTTGATCGTGAACTAAAGGTACAATCTTTCTCTCTCTGTTTCAGCATCATGTATTTGCTTTTCTCTTTTAACTATTTGTTTTGTGTGGAAACGGAATCAAATGTAATAACTATCGTTCTTTGCTCTGTAGGAAACTGGAAGAGTGACATACAATGGTCATGGAATGAATGAGTTCGTGCCACAAAGAACAGCTGCGTATATAGGTCAAAATGATGTTCATATCGGTGAAATGACTGTTCGGGAGACTTTTGCTTACGCAGCTCGCTTCCAAGGCGTTGGTTCACGTTATGGTGAGTTTTAACATTTTCTAGGTTTCTATTTTCTCAAAACATTCGATTTGGTATGTGGATTTTGCTGACAATTGAAGTTTTAGATATGTTGACGGAATTGTCAAGAAGAGAGAAGGAAGCAAACATCAAACCTGACCCTGATATTGATGTCTTCATGAAGGTTAGCTATACATTCACTTCCTTAAAAACTTCAACTTTGTGTAAATTTGCAGAACCCAAATATGTAGGCTTTTTCTTTTTTAACGAGTATTATAACTTCAATATTCTACTATCATACAGGCGACGTCAACAGCAGGTGAAGAAACAAATGTGATGACAGATTATATCCTGAAGGTACGGTTTCCTCCAAAGTTTTTTTTTTTAAGAGAATTATCAAAATCTTATGCTTGACATCATCTAAATTCTTTGTAAATTTTACAGATCTTAGGTCTTGAGGTCTGTGCAGACACTATGGTCGGTGATGATATGTTGAGAGGCATCTCCGGAGGACAAAAGAAGCGTGTCACTACTGGTGAGACTTTGAGCCAAGGAAATAACCTTTTTCATGAATACATTGTGTCCATTCGAGATTGATGGTGTGTTTGTGTATATGTAAAGGTGAAATGCTGGTTGGACCGTCTAGGGCTCTGTTCATGGACGAAATATCGACTGGTTTAGATAGCTCAACGACGTACCAGATAGTGAACTCCCTCAGAAACTATGTTCATATCTTCAACGGAACAGCTCTGATCTCACTCCTTCAGCCTGCACCCGAGACATTCAATCTCTTCGATGATATCATTCTCATTGCAGAAGGAGAGATCATCTATGAGGGCCCTCGTGATCACGTCGTGGAGTTCTTTGAGACCATGGGATTCAAATGTCCTCCAAGAAAAGGCGTCGCTGATTTCCTACAAGAAGTACAGGCTTTTTTCATAAGAATATAATCATTTTTGTCTCATGTCTCTACTAAAATGAACACTACTCTTGCAGGTGACATCAAAGAAAGACCAAATGCAGTACTGGTCACGATCTGATGAGCCTTATAGGTTCATAAGAGTGAGGGAGTTTTCAGAGGCGTTTCAGTCATTCCATGTTGGGAGGAGACTCGGAGATGAGCTCGCTTTGCCTTTTGACAAGACAAAGAGCCATCCGGCTGCTCTAACCACCAAGAAGTATGGTGTTGGGGTTAAAGAACTTGTCAAGACCAGCTTCTCCAGAGAATACTTACTCATGAAAAGAAACTCCTTTGTTTACTACTTCAAGTTCGGACAAGTAAGTGAACGTTTAATTACACAACGTACTAGCTCTTCTCATATGTAATGAATATCTCCTCCTCGTCTTCAAGACAGATTCATGAAAATGTTGTTGCTTGCTTCAATGTGTTTACAGCTTCTGGTAATGGCGTTTATGGTAATGACTCTGTTCTTTCGGACGGAGATGCAAAAGAAGACTGAGGCGGATGGGAGTCTCTACACGGGAGCCTTGTTCTTCATCCTTATGATGCTCATGTTCAATGGAATGTCAGAACTTTCAATGACCATTGCAAAGCTTCCTGTGTTTTACAAGCAAAGAGATCTCCTTTTCTATCCAGCATGGGTATACTCTCTGCCTCCTTGGCTCCTCAAGATCCCTATAAGCTTCATCGAAGCCGCTCTCACAGCCTTCATCACTTACTACGTCATCGGCTTTGACCCCAACATTGGAAGGTACACATATACACCAAACAGCTTAAGATGAAATATTTTGGCTACTCGTGGACATTGTTGAAGGAACAGCTAAGAATGCTCATGGTTTCTTATCGGTTTGTTGCAGGCTGTTTAAGCAGTATATGCTGCTCGTGCTCATGAACCAGATGGCTTCAGGATTGTTTAAGATGATGGCAGCTTTGGGAAGAAATATGATCGTTGCAAACACATTTGGTGCATTTTCGTTGCTCGTGTTCTTTGCCTTGGGTGGTGTGGTACTTTCACGAGGTATGTGTTCATGCATATACTTTTCTGATATACTAAAATCAGAAGCTCATCATTCGTTTTCTCATTAACCTGATTAAAACAGAGGATATTAAGAAGTGGTGGATATGGGGATACTGGATCTCCCCAATAATGTATGGACAAAACGCGATAGTGGCCAATGAGTTCTTCGGTCACAGCTGGAGTCAAGTAACTATCAAACTCCCTTGTCTACTATACCTATTTGGAAACCATTTTGTTTTCATGGTTTTGGTGGAGACTGATATATGTTGATTGTATTACAGGCTGTCCCAAATTCATCAGACACACTTGGAGTTACTTTCCTCAAGTCTCGTGGGTTCTTACCCCATGCATACTGGTATTGGATCGGAACTGGATCTTTACTCGGATTCGTCGTGTTGTTCAACTTGGGTTTCACGGTGGCACTGACGTTTCTTAACTGTATGTAATCAATCAGTTTTGACTGAGATCACATCTTCTGATACGAGACTGTATTTTTAACCTTAGAATTTTCTTTATGTGTACAGCCTTGGGAAAGCCTCAAGCTGTTTTGATGGAAGAGCCTGCGAGTGATGGGAAAAACGAGACAGAACTCCAGTCTGCTCGGACAGGAGGTGCAGTTGAAGCTAATAAGAAAAGAGGAATGGTGCTTCCATTTGAGCCACATTCAATTACTTTCGACAATGTCATATACTCAGTTGACATGCCCCAGGTAATATCCTTGGTCGAGGATTTCAAAATCCATCAATCCAAGAACCTTCCTGCTAATCTTTGTTATGGATTCTTTCATACAGGAAATGATAGAGCAAGGCACAAATGAAGACAGACTTGTTCTGTTGAAAGGTGTGAATGGTGCTTTCAGGCCAGGCGTGCTTACGGCTCTCATGGGTGTTTCTGGAGCTGGCAAAACTACTCTGATGGATGTTCTTGCTGGAAGGAAAACCGGTGGTTATATCGATGGAAACATCACCATTTCTGGCTATCCTAAGAATCAACAAACATTTGCCCGTATCTCAGGATATTGTGAACAAACCGATATCCATTCCCCACATGTCACTGTTTACGAGTCCTTGGTTTACTCAGCCTGGCTCCGATTGCCTAAAGAAGTAGATTCAAACACGAGAAAGGTCATTCACAGATACTAACTTTTAATAAGAGCCACATGAGGAAATCGAAATAGTACTCACAAATGTTTTGGTTTCTGTTATGTTATGGTGCAGATGTTCATAGAGGAAGTGATGGAGCTGGTGGAGTTAACACCGTTGAGGCAAGCACTAGTGGGACTACCTGGTGAGAGCGGTTTGTCGACGGAGCAAAGAAAGAGACTGACCATTGCGGTGGAGCTGGTTGCAAACCCATCCATCATCTTCATGGATGAACCTACTTCAGGATTGGATGCACGAGCTGCTGCTATCGTTATGAGGACTGTTAGGAACACGGTCGACACGGGGAGAACAGTCGTCTGCACCATTCACCAGCCTAGCATCGACATATTCGAAGCCTTTGATGAGGTAATAAAAAATGACTTCCAACACGTTCGTTAAAAAGAACTTGAAACCATTTGTTAACATGTTTTGGTATGCGTATATATGCAGTTGTTCTTGCTGAAGCGTGGAGGTGAGGAGATCTACGTTGGACCTCTTGGCCACGAATCAAGCCATTTGATCAACTACTTTGAGGTAATGCATAAGACAGAGTTAATCACATTATACCTAAACTTGTTTGGAACACAAAGCAAAGCAAACATGGACTGAATGTGTTAACTTTACAACAGAGTATTCAAGGGATCAGCAAGATCACAGAGGGGTACAACCCAGCAACCTGGATGCTTGAAGTCTCAACCACTTCTCAAGAAGCTGCTCTAGGAGTCGATTTCGCCCAACTCTACAAAAATTCAGAACTTTATAAGTAAGTATATTCACAGTCAACAATGAATCTACAAAGAAAGACGTCTGATCTCACCAATATAACTTTCTCTTTTGTAGGAGAAACAAGGAGCTTATCAAGGAGCTAAGCAAACCAGCTCCGGGATCAAAAGACTTGTATTTCCCAACACAATACTCACAATCTTTCTGGACACAATGTATGGCATCTCTATGGAAACAACACTGGTCCTACTGGAGAAACCCGCCTTACACCGCCGTGAGGTTCCTCTTCACAATCGGCATTGCTCTCATGTTCGGCACAATGTTCTGGGACCTTGGTGGCAAAACGTAAAAGCAAAAACCTTAAGCATTGATTCTGTGTGTTATCAGATAGATAAAAAAAAACTCTTTTAAATCGACCTAATTCGAATGATTTCACCTACAGGAGAACGCGACAAGATTTATCCAATGCAATGGGTTCAATGTACACAGCTGTTCTCTTCCTCGGGTTACAGAACGCCGCCTCAGTGCAACCAGTCGTTAACGTCGAAAGAACAGTCTTTTACCGAGAAAAAGCCGCCGGAATGTACTCCGCCATGCCGTATGCTTTCGCTCAGGTACTAAAACAAAAATCCGATAAAAGGATTTTCCACCGGAAATTCCTAAAATTCATGAAGTCTCCTCTTTTCGATTTCTCAGGTGTTCATCGAGATGCCATACGTCCTTGTGCAAGCGGTGGTGTACGGTCTCATAGTTTACGCCATGATAGGATTCGAGTGGACGGCGGCGAAGTTTTTCTGGTACCTCTTCTTTATGTACGGATCATTATTAACTTTCACGTTCTACGGCATGATGGCTGTGGCGATGACGCCTAACCACCACATCGCCTCCGTCGTCTCCTCCGCTTTCTACGGCATCTGGAATCTCTTCTCCGGCTTCCTCATCCCGCGTCCCGTAAGCCCGTCTAAATCTCGAAAATACCCTTATATTACTATTTGTTTCTTTTTAATTTCAAAATGGGCCTTAAACTTATTTAAATATTCTGTTCTGACCCTAACTTTTGTTTTTTTTTCTCTTGGACTAAAAATACAGAGTATGCCGGTATGGTGGGAATGGTACTACTGGCTTTGCCCAGTTTCGTGGACACTTTACGGACTAATCACATCACAGTTCGGTGATATTACAGAACCAATGACAGATGGTACAAGCGTGAAGCAATTCATTAGAGATTTCTATGGATTCAGAGAAGGTTTCATGGGAGTGGTTGCAGCCATGAATGTTATCTTCCCATTAGTTTTTGCCATCATCTTTGCTGTTGGAATCAAGACTTTCAATTTCCAAAAGCGATAGATAGTTTTTTCTTGTTTATAAGCTTTGCGGTTTATTTCCTCATGTACCACAAATAAAAAACATTCTTTTGTGTATAAGCTATTCTTCTTCTTTTTTGTAATACAATATTAATATCCAAATAATCAAGTTTTACATTTTTTTTGTTAATAAGCTAAGTAATATTATATTGATATCAATAAAAGGGTGATCAAAAACACTGGATTAGATTGAATCTCTAGCTAATGTTTACATACGCAGCAACCCCTATAATTATAAGACATGTTACAGACAAAACAAAACCAAATATAATCCAGGTTCCCTGTAATAACATTAACAATCTCTTCATGTATGTATTCCTTCTTCTTCTTTTCATTCTAATCTCCACATGAACATTCTCCATCTCTAAAGTGGTGAAAATGCTCAGCATCTCTAACAGATATTTCTCTTCTTACTGTTTTGGAGATGAACTTTACTGTATCATGGCAACTCTCACACATATTGAGATTCTTTGTCACCCAAATCGGCATTCCTGGGACTGTGTTGATCAGACCAAAAGCAATGGCCTTTCTCTCGCTATGTCCACAGAATATCTCATCTCTCGAAATCTCAGTATCGTTCATAGAACTAGATTCTGAACTTGTTCTAGTACGCCCAACGTCACGCATTTTCTCATTGAACGCCTCTAAAACAGTGTTGATCTCTTTTGTTTGAGGATGGTACTTGTCATCGCTAAGAAAGGCGTGAACTTTACCCTTCACTTCCACCCAACTGCATCCTGCATCAACGGTCAGCCCATTTTCTTTCATCATTCTTCTCACTTTTCCAACTTCTCTCCATTTGCTACAATCAGCATACAGATTACATAACAGAATGTAATAGCCAACACTTTCTTTGTCCAGCTCAAATATACGCTGCGCTGATAGCTCACCGAGTTCAATGTCGCGGTGAATCCTGCAGGCGTTAAGCAAGGCTCCCCATACCGCCGGATCTGGTGTTACTGGCATTTTCTGAATAAACTTGTGCGCTTCTTCTAACTCGCCTGCACGGCCAAGCAAATCAACCACGCAAGCATAGTGCTTCAAGTTTGGGGTAACACCATATTCCTCCATTCTGCTAAAGTACATCAAACCTTCTCTCACCATTTGGGATTTGCTACAACCACATAACAGTGAGATGAATGTAATCTCATCTGGTCTTACTCTGGACTTAACCATTCTGTCAAATAACTCCACCACCACCGACCCTTGACCCCGTTCTGAATATCCGGTTAGAAGAATGTTCCATGATGAGACATCTTTCTTCTGGGAGTTGAACTGATTCCAAGCAATGTTCATTCTCCCGCACCGTACATACATGTCTAAGAGGGCATTTGGAAGAAAATCATCGAGCCCCACTCCTGTTCTCAGTACATGGGCATGAATCTCTTTCCCACACATCAGAGCCCCGATTCTAGCACAAGCTGCTAATGCAGCTGTCAATGTTATTGCATTCGGCTGCAGCGTCATTTTCATTTGCCGGAAGAATATCAAGGCCTCAAAACATCGGTTGTTGAGCCGAAGCCCAGCAATGATTGATGTCCAAGATATTACATTCTTGCGGGGGATGTTGTGAAAGATGTCCAAGGCCTTATCAATGGATTTGCACTTTGAGTACATATTAATGAGATTGTTTGCAACAATCACATAGGATATGAGCCTTGCCTTAATCGCCAGCTTATGGAGCTCAACACCTGTGTCAAGATCCCCTAGAGTAGCGCAAGCAGATAGAACAGCAGCTACTGCTATCTCATCTGGCTTCACACAATCTTGATCCATCATTCTGTAAGTGTCTATGGCCTTCTCGGGCAAAAAATTATACTCATAGCCTGAAATCATAGTGGTCCATGACACAATGTCTTTGCGCTCCATTCTGGTAAAAACTTTTTCAGCTTCACGCCATGACCCAGCATTTAAGTACATCTGAGTTAAAGAGTTGCAGACAGATACGTCAACAGCGAAACCTGAGCTTATCACATAAGCATGAATATCCCTTCCTAACCTTCCATCTCCAAGAAGCGCACAAGCAGAGATCACACTAGTAATGGTCATCAGATCAGGATCAACAGAAAGCACACGCATAGCAAAGAATAACTTCAGACCTTCATGACACATCCCATTCTCAAAATACCCGGAGATCATTGCGTTCCATGAGATTATATCTCTCCTAGGCATTCTATCAAAAAGCAACCTCGCGCTCTTTACATCACCACACTTCACATACATAGTAATCAAAGCGTTTACCACATCAATATCCAATTCGTATCCGTATCGAAGCACATGAACATGAACCTCTCTTCCTCGAGCTAGATCAGGTATACCTCCACAGGTTCTCAATACACAGGGGAACGTATAAACATCAGGTTTGACCCCACCAACCCATAACATTCTATGATACAAACACATCGCCTCGTCGAAATAGCCTTGCTTTGCGTAGCCACCGACCAACACATTCCAAGAAAACAAGTTTCTCTCAGACATTTTGCCGAAGACATACCAGGCATCAACCAAATTACCAAACCTCACAAACATAGCGAGAAACGCGTTACCGAGATCAACACCCAGGCTGCTCATGGAATTTAGAGCAATAGAATAAACCTTGGAACCTTCTTCGTGTGCTCTCTTCCACTCGCACAGCCTAACCATAGCCACATACGCATCTTCGTCTACCGAAATCCGCAACTCCTGCATAGAATTCAGAAGCTTCATAGCTTCCTCCAGCTTCCCGTTCGCGCAAAGCCCATGTAATTGAGAATTCGAAAAGTGGGTACTACTAGAACTCGAGCTTAGAACCGATAATCCTTGAGATTTTCTTGTGAAAACTTTCCGAATTCCAAAATTCCAATAGAAATGAACGTTTCTACGCTTATGAGCCTTGCTTTGAAAAGAGTTCGACTTGCCTGGTTTGAGATGAAAGTGAGGAGGTTGAGCAGAAGACGCCATCGTCTGAGTGTTAGAGCAAAGAAAATGGTCATACTCGTAGAGGTTTTACCTGGAGGTTTTAAGGCGAGAAGATAAAATGGACAAAAAATAGTCTTAATTAACTATGGTCGTCCACTTACGTCGTTTTAGCCTTAATTTTCCCGAAGATTTTATTGACATTAAGACAATTGTTCGCCTCAAATTCCATTTAATACTCATATGTGATAAATTGAGTTGAGTCAAGACAGAGCCACTCTTCATATTGTTGTCTTAAAAGTACAGAGATTCATAAGATTATTGAACTTATAGAAAATCAGTTTTCTATTGGTATCAAGAAACAAAAACAAAAACAAGCATTTGACTAAATGGTTGACTATAGTCTTCTCACTATCAAAATCTTTCTTTATTCCGACCAAAACCTTCAACCCCTCACGTAACTAATCCCATAAACCCCTTTTATCCGTCACTGTCTAAATGCCGGTCCGAGTAGATTTCTCCGATAGTTGACTCGTAGATTCTCCTGGTGCAGCTTCCTCCTGTGATACAACAGGAATCTTGAGTGATGAAGCTCTCTCCATTTCCTTCTCAAGCTCTTCTTCAGACATCAGTGTGTTAAACTGTCCCTCCAGCGACTTAGCTGCGGCTAACCACGCAGTGACTATACCGAGGAGGATGACTCCAAGGTAAGGAGTGGAACTGGCGAGTGAGCCGAACGTAAGGATCATAAACTGCTGGATTAAAGCACCGCCTGATTTCCCCAATGGATTGCACACCACATCAATTGCCGCTTTGCCTTTAACCTGAAAACCAATGGCACACACCGTAAAAAACAAGAGAGATCAAAAGAATGCAAACTACTTCCTTTAAGAGAAAAGACACAAAACCTTGGTGTCCTCATCCAGTGGGATATAAGCCATTTCTTTGCAAGGATCGAACAAACTGTACTTGGCGCTCTTGCTGAAGATATTCTGGAGGGCCCCGACATACACAGCTGCGAGTAGTGGTGTCATACCAAGCTTGGCAACCAGAGGTGCGAATGGGCCACCAAAGAGTATTAGAGAGAAGAAGGCAACCCCGGTTAATAGCAGAACCGTTGGCGTGATCTTTGCAGCTACCCCCCAACCATACTTATCGAATACATATTGGCTGAGAAGCATCATTGTGAATGTTGCAATACCAGTGCAGGTTGAGAAGTCGCCCATGAATGCTGAGTACTCGTTCGGGCTAGGGAACTGTGTTCAAAGAAATGGTTTTTAGGTGCTAAGATGAAAGCATGATACTAGTAGCAACTTTTTCTCCATTAGGATTTTGCTCACCTGAGCTTTAAGCTTTGATTTCCATGTGACTTCCACAAGGTTGATACTAATTCCATACGCGACAACCAAAGTAGCAAGATCCCTGATGTATGGTGATGACACCAAGAACTTCAAGCTCTCCATTGTTCCCATCTGTGGCTTCACCTGTAACAGATCAGAAGACAACCTCGTATCACAACCTGCGCATTTAATCACATAGAACCATAAGTATTTTGTAAGTTCAACCAAATTTATTACCTTCTTCTTCTTGCTACGGGTTGGGAGGGGGACGTATCTATTGACCCACCAGTAGAGAAAACAGATGGCTAGGCCCATCCCCACGACAATACTCATCATGGCTTTCAATGAAACAGCCCAGCCATCAACTCCAGGACCGAGATTCTTTCTCATATTAGAGAAATATTTCACAGTTCTTCCTGAGAAAATAAGGGCAACATTGGCCCCTAGTCCAAACAAAGGATAGAACTTTTTGGCTTCGTCAACAGTTGTTATCTGCCAGCAAAAAAGATTGAATACTAGTTAATTCAACAGATAGTTATTGACTCAAGAGTTCCAATTCCTCATGGCTAACAAACCAAATAAGTATTGTGAGTCTAATGACAAGCAGTAGTAGAATCAAGAGTCTAATCACCTGATTGGCAAATCCCCAGAAGAGAACTGAAACGACGACGCTACCCCAAAGCTCAGCCATGACATAGAACAAACAGAAACTCCAAATCCGCATGATTGCGAGAGGACCCATGAATCT